AACAGGGGTGGGCAACCCCTGGCACGTGTGCCAAACATGGCACGCCAGTAGCTTTTGCTGGCACGCGAAACCCTCTCTTATAATCTTCCATTTACAATTTTTTTCTTAATATCAACTTTTTTATTTTTCAGATAAATTCAGTGTAGGTGCATCTTAGATAAACAAATAATTTTACATAACAAATTATCTTAAAGACCATAGACATGGATTGACGAGAGAGGAGAAGAGCAATTTCAATAGTGTCGAAAACAAACTATTGAGGACTTGGAATGCCATTCCAGAAAATATTAGACTTAATAAATGAATTCGGCAATGTAGCAGGATACAAAATTAATGCCAAGATATCCATGGCATTTCTTTACACCAATAGTGAACTTACAGAAAGTGAGACTAAAAAAGCAATCCCATTTACCATCACACCAAAAAAATTAAGATACCTAGGAATAAACTTAACTAAGGAGGTAAAAGACTTATATGCGAAAAACTACAGGACACTGAAAAAAGAGATAGAGGAAGACATAAACAGATGGAAGAACATACCGTGTTCATGGATTGGTAGAATCAACATCATCAAAATGTCCATACTACCCAAAGCAATCTATAGATTCAATGCAATCCCCATTAAATTACCAACGGCATATTTCACAGATCTAGAACGAACTCTCCAAAAATTCATCTGGAATAAAAAAAGACCTCGAATAGCTGCAGCAATCCTGAGAAAGAAGAACAAAGTAGGTGGGATCTCAATACCAGATATCAAACTGTATTACAAAGCCACTGTTCTTAAAACAGCTTGGTACTGGCACAAGAACAGACATATAGATCAATGGAATAGAATAGAGACCCCAGAAATCGACCCGAACCACTATGCCCAATTAATATTCGACAAAGGAGGCAAGAGTATACAATGGAGTCTAGACAGTCTCTTCAATAAATGGTGTTGGGAAAATTGGACAGATACATGCAAAAAGATGAAACTAGACCACCAACTCACCATACACAAAAATAAACTCAAAATGGATAAAAGACTTAAACGTAAGACGGGAAACCATAAAAATACTAGAGGAATCCACAGGCAGTGAAATCGCAAACATATGCCAAAGGGATTTCTTCTCTGATAATGCTCCTAGGGCAATGGAAACTAAAGAGAAAATAAACAAATGGGACTACATCAAAATAAAAAGCTTTTGCACAGCAAAGGAAACCATCAACAAAACAACAAGAAGACCCACTACATGGGAGAACATATTTGCCAATGATATCACCGATAAGGGTTTAATCTCCAGCATTTATAGGGAACTCATGAAACTTAACAATAGGAATATAAACAATCCAATAAAAAAATGGGCAACGGACCTAGACAGACACTTTTCAAAAGAGGACATACAGAAGGCCGAAAGACATATGAAAACATGGTCAAAGTCACTAATTATACGAGAGATGCAAATCAAAACGACAATGTGGTATCATCTCACACCTGTCAGAATGGCTATCATCAACAAATCAACAAACAACAAGTGTTGGAGAGGATGTGGAGAAAAAGGAACCCTTCTGCACTGCTGGTGAGAATGCAGACTGGTGCAGCCACTGTGGAGAACAGTATGGGGCTTCCTCAAAAAACTAAAAATGGAACTCCCATTTGACCCTGTGATCCCACTTCTAGGAATATAACCCAAGAAAACAGAAACACCAATCAGAAAGGATATATGCACCCCTATGTTCATAGCAGCACAATTCACCATAACTAAGATTTGGAAACAGCCTAAGTGCCCATCAGCAGATGAGTGGATTAGAAAACTGTGGTACATCTACACAATGGAATACTATGCTGCGGTAAAAAAGAAGGAACTCTTGCCTTTTGCAACAGCATGGATGGAACTAGAGAGCATTATGCTAAGTGAAATAAGCCAGTCAGAGAAAGATAAATACCACATGATCTCACTCATTTGTGGATTATAGAGAACAACATAGACTGATGAACAGGGACAGATCCAAAGACAGAGAAACAGCGATCAGACTATCAATCCTCAGAAGGAAAGTAGGAGAGGGAGGGGGTAAGGGGAAGAGATCAACGGAAGGACTTGTATGCACGCATATAAGCCAAACCAATGGACATGGACAACAGGGGAATGAGAGCATGAGTGTGTGTGTGGAGGGGGGGGAGGTTGGGGGTTAATGGGAGGGATGAGGACACATTTGTAATACCTTAACTAATAAAAAATTTAAAAAAACAACAACTTTGCAACAGTGTTACTCTTCATGTTTTCATCCACATAACGCTTGTGAATCTTTGTTCTCAGTGATTAATTTTGTTAAGTCTCATAATAGGAGTAGCCTGACGGATGAAAGTAGTAGCTCGTGCATATCTCTGAAGGTCACGAAATATAAACCTGATGTGAAATCTCTGTCATCAGTGATGCAGCAGCAAAAGTCCCACTGATATTATCAAACAGAGTCATAACGTTTTCTGTCGGACTATCAGTGTACATGTATACATTAAAAAATAAATGTATTTTTCATCATCATATACTGTGTTTTTGTCGCTCGAATGAATTTTATTATTTCTTCAAGGTTCTTCACATATGTACACCTTAAGAGATATCAAGTAGGCATAACATGTTCTCAATGTTCTCAGGTTCGATTCCCGGTCAGGGCACATACCCAGGTTGCAGGTTTAATTCCCGGTCGGGGCCGCTGTGGTAGGCAACTGATTAATGTTTCTTTCTCTCCCTCTCTCCTTCTTTCCCTCTCTATAAAATCATTAAAAAAGAGTGCAAAGCATTGTGTTGCTGTTGTGCTGGGGCCTGGGTGTAGCACTTTTCTTGCATTACTGCTGGATGGGAGTTGCTTCCTGACAGAGATAAGGGATTGGTGAGATTAGTAAAAATCATTTCTTTGATTGTCATACATATTGTCTGTACTATAACACTTATTCAGTTATTCAATAACTAGAGGCCTGGTGCATGAAAATTCATACACTGGAGCGAGGGTCCCTCTGCCTGGCCTGCCCCCTCTCACAGTCCAGGAGCCCTCAGGGCGGGAGGTGAACTGGTGATCAGAGGAAGGCGACGCCCCATCACACCTCTGCTGCTGCCACTGCTGGCAGCGCAAGCCTCAGCCGGCCCTGGTTACCTGAACCTCTGGTGGCCCTGGGCGGCTGGGCAGCCACCATCCGAGGCTTGCCTGCACCTCGGGCGTCGGCTGGGCAGCTACCATCCGAGGCTTGCCTGTGCCTTGTGCAGGCCCTGGGCAGCTGGGGGACTGAGGGGACTGGGGGACTCTGGAGGCAGGCATGTGGAGCGGCTGGGCCCGCCTGGCTGTGGGCCCAGCAGGGCTGAGTGGACTGGGCACTGTCATCTTGTGGCTGTGGGTGCCGCCATCTTTGAGGGCAGGCAGTCAATTAGCATATTCCCTCCTTATTGGCTATGGGCGCCACCATCTTTGAGGGCGGGACAGCAATTAGCATATTCCCTCCTTATTGGCTGTGGGTGCTGCATCTTTGAGGGAGGGGCAGTCAATTAGCATATTCCCTCCTTATTGGCTGTGGGCACCGCCATCTTTGAGGGCGGGGCAGTCAGCGTATTCCCACCTTATTGGCTGTGGGCGCCACCATCTTTGAGGGAGGGGCAGTCAGTTAGCATATTCCCACCTTATTGGCTGTGGGCACCGCCATCTTTGAGAGTGGGGCAGTCAGTTAGCATATTCCCACCTTATTGGCTGTGGGCACCGCCATCTTTGAGGGAGGGGCAGTCAGTTAGCATATTCCCACCTTATTGGCTGTGGGCGCTGCCATCTTTGAGGTGGGACAGTCAGCATATTCCCTCCTTATTGTCTGTGGGCGCCACCATCTTTGAGGCAGGGCAGTCAGTTAGCATATTCCCTCCTTATCGTCTGTGGGCGCCACCATCTTTGTGACAGTGGGGCAGTCAATTAGCATATTCCCTCTTTATTAGATTGTTTTGTCTATAGTATCATTCTCTCTTCAAGGAGGGCTCTGTTCCCCTAAAAAAAAAAAAAAAAAAGCAGGGACTACACCATAATAGCTGGCAGGCACTGCAGGTAATAAGGACATGATTGTCATACTTAGTAATAAATCCTGAGTTGCACATTTTTTCATATTCTAATATCTGAAACCAAGGTGAATCTTAGAGTTAATGATTTTAAAAGCATTTTAACATAGTTTAATTGGCAGTGTTTTTTCTTAATAGTACACAAAAGAATGTCTCTTTTAGACAGTGGTTTTTGATTAACTACACTGGATATTTTATATTCTTGCTATAAAGACTATTCACTGTATAATGAAATTATTTAAATTCCAACTGATGTTATGTTGATTGTCAGGTGATACTCAGTATAGTAAGATTTGAGATATGGTTAAAAAAAGACATTATCCTGAAATGAGTACATACTGAGCACATAAATGTCAAAGGAATGAGGGGCATGAGATGAGGCTGCCCTCCACACTGTAGATCAAGAATTGGAATTGGAAGCAAACCAGCTGAGTATTTTGTCTGGATGAAGGCACAGGAGGTAGCAAGCAAACTGACTTGCCTGTCATTAGTGTGAGGTCTTCAGTTTCAGCCTCTAAGACCTTGGGTTTGTTGTCATGAGCAGAACCACGGAGGAGGTTGTGGAAGCCTCGGAATACAGTAAGTGCTTAACGTCATTGATGGATTCTGTGACTTACGCAAAACAACATATAACAAAACCAATGTGACCGTAGTCTAATTGATAGAAACAAGAGTTAAGTTCCTGTGGCATCTCATCAACGTTATAAGGACAAAACGTTATTGGAGGACCTGCTGTATTACTTTTGGGTTGGCAGTTAAACAAGAGAAGGAACTAAAGGGATGAGGCACTTTTCCTCAAGTGAAAAAAATTACATTAATCTCTTGTTTAGAATTGAAAGTATGTTTTCAACTTAACTATTGAACCAAAAAGACTGAGTTAATGGTACAGTTTTATAACCACCTAATCACACTACTGTTTCTCTGCCACAGATTGCCTTCTCCCAGCACAGCAATTTTATGGACCTGGTACAGTTCTTCGTGACTTTTTTCAGGTAATTTCACTCATACAAACTATATCTGTTCTTTCGATTGAGGTACTTAATTCTATTAATTATCAGCTCATGAAAAATAAATGAATAATCCTGAGTTTGCACAACAGACCAAACTAATTGTATTTATTTCCTGAAAAGTTACATGTCAGTAACAGTAGTGTAAAGTCAGTCTCATCTGATAAAATGAAAACATTTGCTTGGCATGTTCTGGCTTTTTTGAGGCAGCTTTTCATGTACCCTATACTAAAATGGAGATAATTTGGCTCTTTATATGAAGAGAATGTGGGATTGAAACAATAATTAATAATTACTGGTGTGTGCTATATATATGCTTCCTTTTGTTCAAGAAATGATTCAGGTGATTATCCAGAGTTTTAAAGCTAAAATGACTTGTTAAGCCCTTGGAATTTTTTTATTATAGTTTTTAAAATTTTATTTTTATGAAAATACTATATACACATAACTGGAAAAGACAAGTGATACAGTGCTTATAAGAGAAAGCAGCAGCATCCTGCCCCCCACCTTTCAACCCCTCCCTTTTTCCCAATTTAAACGGCTTTAGCTGTTTTTCACTTATCCAGGCTTACTCTGTTTCTTGATTTTTCAGTTCGGTTATCTTTTGATGGCCTACTGAAGACGTCTTTATTACCTTAGGTTACCTCACCCAACAACTCCCCTACACTACAAAAACATATATAATCCCTTCCTCCCATTCATTCCATTTAGTACATCACAGTGCTTGGCTACATCAATCATCTCTGTTTATGTTGTTACTAGAGGCCCAGTGCACGAAATTCGTGCACTGGGCGGGGGGGGGGGGGGG